CAAAATGTTATCACGTGCTCTGCGGTGAAGGAAATCATGGTACGCACGGGGATCGAATTCAGGTTGCTCGAGTTAAAGGCGAGCGCCCGGACACTGAGCTATCACGGCTCACCTGGTGACAAGGCCCAGCCGTTTTAACCTTTAAAAATTTTATATAATGAGACTCGCGAATCATTACTGGGCTTAAAGCCCCGAAGATAACTATCTTCGAGGCTTTAAGACAATACAAACGTCGATAAAATTTGTTTTATTGAAACGGTTAGATTTCATGGTCCATTTTGCTTATTCAATTTATGTACAAAGTATCGATAGTTTTACCATCACTATCGTCCGACGAGTGACGCCCGACGCGTCAACGCGCCGTCTCGCATTAGCATCGCAAATACTACGCGAAAATAGATTTAAAGCGGCACGCGGCAACTTAAATACTACATTCGCTCGGAATTGTTTAGCAATAGAAATTACGCCACGTACTTTTACAGTGAAAATATGAACTATAATCTCAGGACTTCTGAGATAATACTAAGAATATCTTTGTAATGTTAAAATGTTGTATGATTACAAAATCCAAAGTTAGCGGCGATGGTTCTCTTATATATTTTACATAATCATGTTACGTTGGCAGATATAGGTTTGATCAATAGTTTTATTACGTAACTTAAGTATTTTTCATATTTCTAATTCGGATGTACTCTATGTTTCAACGTAGGTGTGTCTACGAACAATGTTAAAATGATTTCATTTAACTGTACGTACCTAGTGTTTGTGTACATACAAAATACGTAATATTTATGTTATTCCAAAAAGTCGTCACTTCGCGTTGATGCCTACAATTGCATTAATAAATGTAATATGTATATATACTACCAATATCCGAACGACGTAGGCGAGTTTTCGAATGATCAACTTTGAGATTTAATATAAGATTAAGTTTATTTTGTGTTGGACCTTTGCTGTTTGTAAAGGGCAACACTATCGATAAAATTGCCTGGACAAACAACAATTAGTCATTGTTAATACCAGTTGTCAGTTAAACGCATTGCAAAAATGACGCGCCCCAAAAGTTATTCTGCCAAATGGTGGCCACGCCCTCGTGAAGCTATTAACAAATGCAGTCATGCTATTATTTTATATATAACCATTTGGTTTTTGTTCTGAGACTTAATTTATTTTGTCTTATATTTGCTGTAAATACACATTGTATTAAAGATTCTTTACTTACCATCAAAGCTCCTTACCCGCTTTTAATTTTTTAAATAAATAAACGTGTGTGTACTTATGTACGTACGTAAGAACTTAATATACTTCTTAGCGCCATAAAAGAAAAATAACGAAAATTAAATTAAACTTGAAATTCTATCCCCTGTGCCAGTACTCTTTTTTTGTTAAAACACATTAAATGCAATTGATAACGGTTTAATTAAATAACTTTGAATTCTAATGGCAAAAAGTTGTTGGTTGCCATGGCAATACCGTGGAGTTGGTTGCATTGCAAACAACTTCATCATGTCGGTGTCGATATGCGCGCGCATCGTAAACATTTTACTCCCATATTTTTTACCAAACGCCCCAAAAAAGTACCCATAACTTCATTAAACAATTTTAGATCATCAAGTAAAGTTAACCATACCGTCTGGTTAATAGTATGGGTTATTTATTTAGGATGTGGAGTAGGTCTTAGATATAACTAAAACGATCGGTAAAAACAAGTGTTAGCACTGAGTTAATTTGATGGTTAAAATAGATTCTCATTGCTATAGACATACATTTAAATTGTTATTTTTGTATTTGAATTATTTAAATACAGATCAGCTGACGAGGAAATCCAAGTTAACATGCTACAATGAGAAGCGGTCGGCATAAGTTTCGACAGATGTGCCGTTAATAGGTTCGCCTCGCGCTAATCTGTGGGCGGAGCCGCGCGACAAAACGATACCATTCACAAAGAGGTGTGATCGCATAATGGCGCGCGTTATACAGCCCAACGGTGGGCTTATGTGGCACAATTATTCAATATTAACGAATACCAATGGCAGTTAATAAATTCAGTTCTGTCACTGTTATCGCAATGAAAAACGTTTAATTACCTTCACGCGCCTCAATGGTTACAATTTCTCGTATAAAATCCGTGTGTGGCGTCATGCTAAAATTATCTCTTCATGCTATCATTATCTTCTTAAAAAGGTCTTCTTTTATTCATTATTTTCTTAAAAATTACAAAAAGAAGAGAACACCTATTTCTTCCAAGGGTGATTTGCAGAAGATAGTAAAATATTGTAACTTCTTCATAGCTTGGAACGAAAATTTATTAAAAATATTTACCTATATGAATTTGGAGTGAATAGATAAGGACGACAATCTCTATGTACAAAAATTGTTCTTCGAAAGGCGGCAGATAGGTAGAGTTAATAGTTACCATTGCCAGTAGTTCCTAAAATTTAACTCAGCCAGATAAACAAACAATTAGCCTTTATAATATTCTTATTTCTAGGTGAAAAGTTGCCAAACGAAGGCGGATCACCTAATGTTAAGTAAATACCGCCGCCCATGGAAATTAACAACTCTCGAGTGCTTGCAGATGCGTTGACAACCTTTAAAATGTGGGCTTCGGTTACCTCACGCACAGGAGAATTTTACGCGAAATTTTATTTGTTTTACGCGATTTGTGTGTGGCCGTGGTACCTACCTTCCTGTACGCGCCTGCCCATTCGCACAACAGTAGGAGCTGTTGAGCTACCATAGTCGTACTGCTGAACAATGATATTATATACAAATATACGACACTAGCGCACCAAATAGTTACACCAATTGGTGTACTTAGATTGCATTTCTATAGACTGCTATCTCTTTCCAAATCATACGTTCTCGAATGGAGACCACTTTTCGGAAAACGTAGTGTCGGACGTCCTCCTGCCAGGCGGACCGATGACCTGAGAAAGGTCGCTGGTAGTGGCTGGATGAGGAAAGCGGAAGATCGTGCTCTATGGCGTGCCCCATAGGCCATAGCCTATGTCCAGCAGTGGATTTCAAAAGGCTGATTGGATTTGATTGGACGTTCTATATCATCTGTCACATTCTCATATATATGTCATATAATTTATTCCGCTTTACAATTTTTAAATACCACGCAGTGTGGACATGCGTCCTCTATATTATTAAACACCATTGCTGATGAAGCTATTTTACACATTTTGTATGTTACTTTATATTTAAATTTATTATTTTTGCATTCTGTTTTTAAAGATTTGTTTGATTTAATAACTTTTTTAATATTTTCGGAATTTTTTTATTTGTTAGTTGTCGCATTATAAACATCCAAATAAATGTACTCTCCCCGTATTTTGTAATATTAAACAATAATAAAAGCCATCTTTCATTTCTATTGTGGCAAATGTCAAAGGGCAATTGCATTATTGTTTGTGCTTTTGACAGCTAAAAGGCAGCCTGAATTGACATTCGAAATAAAATTAAACGTGTACCGCATAACGTCCAAATTTCTTTATCGCGTGAAAATGTTACAGAAAAACATTACTACAAAAGAAACTCGACCTTATCAGTTAACGAGAAAACACTTATTAGATGATTTGTTGAATTCTGCCTCAATTGATTAATAGCTGAACTTTTATTATGTAACATTGAATCTTATTGCCTTCTGATAGAATTTTATTTCTGTTTTCGTAGTGTACCTACTGCGAGTTCTGTTGTCCGGTTCTAGAAAAAAGTAATAAATTGCTGTACTAAACGTTCACGCCTCCCAATCCGTTCCATCGGTTTACTGTTCCACTGATGTAGAAATATATATCTAGTCTTGAGGACTTTACAAGAATAGTTTACCGGACTAAGTTTTTAAAATCTTCGATAACACGATATATAGGCAGTACATTATTAAACCTATTAATCTAAAGCTAAATTGCCAATAGTTTAACCATTACCGATATCTTTATTTTTTGTACAACCAAACAAGTTTCTGCTACTGGGTCGCTATATAAATGGCCGGGGAAAGCCCATTTCCTCGTGCCAACGTAGATAAGACGCTTAGTATAGAAGTACTTATTTACATTCTTGCATATCGTCTGGTGATGGATGTAACCGGATCCTGCCGTCTAGAAGTTTTGCAACACAACTGCTGCTACTTCCATGGGCTAACCAACCACCTATCAGGTAAACCGCTTGCTTGTTCTGAAAAAATGTTTACGCGAATAGTACAATTTTACCACGCAATAATCAGGATACTTCTGGGGGAGGTAACCGGCGCTCATTTTTATAAAGGTTGGCAAAGCACCTACAACCACACTGGTGTTGTAGATGTTCATGGGTAACAGTAATCGCTTAACATCAGGTGAACCGCCGCTCGCTTAGCAAATTTTACATAAAAAAATGTTACAAAATGAAACTATTTTTATGGCTTTATCGCATTTGTTTTTAATTTTAATTCCCGACGTTCCGAATGCTTCGCCGCGTTTATGGTCAGAGTCTGGACAGGCATTTAGTATGAAATCATATCGTGGATGAATTTTAATAGGAAATTTTCTAAAACGAGATTTTCATTCAGTTTTACATTTACTTTAACTGTGCAATAGATTTAATGATATAGATTTCTTTTTCAATCTTACGACCTTGATGGTCACGAATAAACACTGTGGAATCGGTTTTCGCCAGTGGTATTTCTGGACCGATTTGACTTAGGTAGCGGTAAACTCATAGATAAGACATATATACTGAAAGCTCCTTTTTAGTAAAAAACTCCTTTTCGATAAAGAAATCGATTTCCGCCACTCCATGAGCAGTCGAGTCGAAAACTTGATGTGTACACACACATTATTTGCCCAACTTGCAGAGTAATAAATTTCGATTAACAATAAATACGTATACAGGTACTTATAAATAAATCGCTCAGTATATCACACAATATTTATTATCATAATCTCATTACATAATATCAGGCAATACGCGTTAAACCTACCATATTTTACACTACGATTTGGACGTGTCCGAAGTTAGCTGTGTCTGCCGTTCGGGCCGGGGTAATGCCTCAAGCTGGTGGCCTGGTTGATCGTCGCCAGCCTGGAGACGGCCGGCTCGTAACTCCGCATGGGGCTGACGAGGGTCTGTTCCTGGCGCTCGGCCAGCTTCGTCGCGCTGAGGAAGGCCGAGGTCTGCGACTGCAGCAGGCCCCCGGGCAACGGCTGCCCTAGCCGGAACTGCAGGCCCTGCTTCTCCATCTGGTGGTGCTGGGTCCGCACCGCGAACCGGTTCACGTGTACCGGTATCGGCACCACTATCTTGGTGCCGGCGGCGCCCTTGCCCGAATGGCTGCCCGACGCAAGCCCCGCCTTCACCCGTTTCCACTTCGCCCGTCTGTTTTGGAACCAGATCTTCACCTGGAACGTTTGGTTTGTTTCAGGCGTGCAGTGTCTTGGCCGTATCAAGAGGTAAGTTTACTAGCTGAATCTACTGTGATAGGTCCACATAATAGTCTTCGCTGTTGCAACAATGTGCAGTTCAGTACGGGTAAGTACCACGACCTCACAGACGGCGTGAAGTGGAAGTGTTATGATTCTGCGTTTCGTCTGGTGAGTTAGGTAGCCGGTGCCCAACTTATTATAAGGTGGCAACGCATTTGCAATCCTAAGGCTCTTGCAAGTTCAATGAGCGGCGATTATCACTTAACTTCAGGTGAATCGTCAGCTAACTCCCCACAAACTGACACGAAGTACGATCCTGAGCCACCCGCATCCATCGACTTGCACAGGTCGTCACTCCATCTAGTGAGGAGTCCTCCTACACTGCGATGGCCAGCACGAGGCTGTCACTCGAGAACTTTTCTTCCCCAACGAAAATGGAACTAAGAATTTTGCATTTTAAATCACTGTGGTATAGCCACTACAGCAGCTTCTGTTATTGCATGCATGGGAAGGCTCTGCCTGGGAAGTAGCACGGTCTCACAGAATACGGACGTAAAGTTGAAGTATTATGCTGCTTCATTTGCTGAGGTAACCGATTACAACTTTCATCAGTTTAGTCGCTTCGATAGTCTTAAATTATTATTGTGTTGGTGGTTGTATTGGTAAAATTCCATTTCTTTTTTTACATCATTTAACAAAAAATAATTAAAATAATGGCACAAATAATAAATGCGAAGAACATGTCTTGACGTATGGTCCTGTTTCCCCTAGATGGGGCAAAGGGCTTCCACTGTGCGTCGCCATTGAAGCGTGAAACTCAAGACCGAACGGGATGGCGAAGAACATGTACTACCTACTTATTCGCAGACCATTAGTGTATATCAATTTCCATTTCGAAATTTGAAAACGGAGGATATTATGAAAGTTTGATCTTTTGAAAATAGTCAAGAATACAAGCTAGTGGTTAACCAGACGAACGCTTAACTGATAACGAGTATGTACCTGAACTTCGCTGAGCTTGAGCGCCGAAGCGATTTGCGACCTCTCCGTGAGGCTGAGATATTTCTTGGCGTGGAACTCCCTCTCTAACTCTAACAGCTGCTCGGAAGTGAAAGCGGTGCGCCGACGCCGCGCTTTATTGCTCTCCCTTGTGTTGTCTGCGCTAGAATCTTCTAGGTCAGGCTCCGAATCGTTTCCTATAAGGAATATTGTTCAAAGGTCATTGGAAAGTCTTTTTTAATTTTTTAAAACTATTTCTCACGTTAATTTATTTATTTAATTAATAAGGGAAATAAGTCTTTTTTTTAACGCAGATAACGTCTAGGAGAAAACGTTATTAAAAAAATGAAGCTATCGTAAATCTGTTAAAGAAAATGTGAAGGTTTCATAATGTTAATTCCACCATTTTAACAGTTGTTTAATAAACACCTACTACAATAATTCTGTTTTATACTTTAATAAGTACCTTTTACATATATATCCTCTTGGTAAAATAACTCTCTTAATTGCCTAAATTAAGTGAATTATTTGTGAACGGCTGACCGGTTCGGCTATTTTCTGTTTTGAAATGTTATTTTTAGGCTGAAATAGGTTTTTATGGAATGTTAAATTTGTGTTTCGAAAGATATACGTCATTATTTTTGTTTTTTGTTCATTTATTCATGTTCGATTCAAGGCAAAAAAAAGTCGGAAAATCTGACAAGACTTTCATTTTGTTGCTTTGGATCCCGCTTGGAAATTACACATTTGAATGTTTTAATCAAAATAAAGAATCGGAATGATCTTAGCAACAAGTAGAAAACTGCATTAGCATCTCTACGTTCGTATAGAATCTCAAAAATACAAATTCCTTTTATGTAATTTATCTTATATCGCTAATCACCTTTCACAAGTTCATAAATTTAGTTAAAAAAAATAATACAGAACAAGGTAACGTCTTTCAGGCCGTCTTTGATACACAGATACACAAAAAACAGTACTCTGGGAGGGCAACACAACAGTTTTCGCTGTTGTATGAATCGGCAGGTTCACTCGGGTAAGTACCAAGACTTAACAGTAGACCTTCCGCCTTTCGTGTGGTGAGTGAGGTAGTCGGGGCTTAATTTATTAAAAGGTGGCAACGCATCTGCAACTCTACGGGTGTTGCAACTATCCATGAGCGGCATTTATCACTCAAGAACTGTTGAATCATTAACTCGCTTGCCACTTTCTCACAGAAAAAAGATAAAGCTAAATTTTATATAGCTATAAGAATGATAATGTTTTTGTTATAAATAAACAAAGAAATTGAATTTTTGTTCGAAATAATCAAAATGGCGAACTTGCGTTGCGACTCACCAACCAAAAAAAATTTTGGCAAACTAACGTTACGACTCGCCAATCTGCAGGATGTATTTTTCTCTGGCCATCGAGATATGAACCACGAGAGTATCCTCCAGGACTTTTTAGAATTAAAGGTAAAGTTGACGTTCAATGAGAGCTTAAAACAAGCCTATGTTGAACTAAATTTTGACTTTGAAAAAAAGGAAAATGTCATGCCATGTTATCCCGTTTTAATTGTGTGGAACATTCTAGAAACGGAAAATTCTTTGGGGCAATGCATTTGAACTTGACACAAACGTACATAATCCCTCTGACATATGAGTGACAAGAATTTACTCCCGACAGCAAGAGTCGAAACGCTGATATTGTGAATTCATAGGCTTCATCCCCCACGGAGACCTTAAGTGTCCGATATTGCCCGGCAGCCGTGCCCAAACAGCTAGTAGGCGTTCCGCTGACGTCGCGGCGTTCGGCCATCGTTTTTTATAGTCTATTCGATTCGACGGCCCTGTCGACCCCATTAGCGCGAGTCGTAACGTCACGCGATAAATGGAGAGCGTCCTCGATCATTCCCGTCACCGTTATACAGTTTTTTGGAGGGCCTCAAATATAAAGCTTTCTGGAAGATATAGCACTTGAGGATGGTTTTTACAAGTAATGTCAAGAAACCATTATTTTTTTAGATAATTTTAAAGTAAGAATGAGATTATATAAATCAAGTTGACGATAATAATGCTTAGAAAATATTATATTGGGTGTAGTTTTCAGAGAGGAGCTTGTACGGCCCTTGTGGAACCCCTGTGACAGGTGCGATTTTTTTCGTATCGTTTTAATGATTACATATTTTTCTCTCCTCAACACGGATTGTATAGAGTTTGTGTACCATTCTACCTGGTGACGGGTGATTTGATCATTAGCGACAAACTCACAAACTCAATAGATCCTGCTGTCTTGATGTCAAACCAAAACCTACAGTCGAATTTCGGTCCAGAGGAAAAAAGTACAAAGTACAATTAATTAGAAATGAATTAATTAGTTATTAATGTAATTATATTTTTAAGTGAAAATATGGCAAGGGAGTAAACGGTTCCCCTGATGTTCAGTTATTACGGTAGCCTATATACAGAGGCTTTTCTAAGTATATCTATGTTTTTTTATTTAATTCTAGACATAAATAATGTTATATAAAAAATTATAAATATTTTAAATCACTCGTAATTAATTAATTACATTTATTTGAACTTATCCCAAAAAGTGCGCAAGTCATTTATTTTACGCGTGATCATTCATAACTAACACGCACACAAGTTCGCTTGTGTACGTGAAAAGTAAAATTTAGGTATTAACGGTGGTAGGGCCACGCAGCAGCCTCGGCTGTTGCACGAATGGGCAGGCCCGTCCGGGTAAGTACCACGACCTCACAGAAGACCAGCGTAAAGTGAAAGTATGACAAATACTTTCGCGTTTCGTCTGGTGAGTGAGGTAGCCGGAGCCCAATTTTCAAAAGGTTGTCAACGCATCTGTAACCCTCGAGTGTGGCAGATGTCCATGGGCGGCGGTATTCACTTAACATCAGGTGAACCGTCTGCTCGTTTGACAACTTTTTCGCATAAAAAAAAAAAAAAAAGGTATTTATGAATGACTACCGCGTTGTCAACAAGTTCTGCTTTTGAGGGAATAGAATGGTCATTTTTTTGAAAAAAAAAAGTTTGTTTTTATTTTAATAAAGGATTAAATTACCGAGTCTGAACCTCCTGTGTAAATTTGGGCACCTTTAAAAAAGTCTCCCTGTATAATAACAATATCTGAAGTGCGTTGGCTGCAAGTGCGTTGACAACCTTAAAAATTCACATGACGAAACGCAAAATTGTAATACTTCTACTTCACATTGATCCTCTGTTCTGTGAAGCCATCTTATACGTAGCCGGAACGAGCCTGCAATTTCGTAAGTGAAGACCGTCCGTGGATCATTACACTAGAGTAGTCCAACAGCCTTCAACTACCTCACCCTACCTAGTTGGCCTATTTCTATTTTTGGACTAGTATTTGAGGTTTCGCAAATTATGTTGAATACCTAAGACATTCGATTGACAGCAAAAGATTATGACCAAATATTCCCTTTACAATAAACAAGTCTCTCCCATTAATCGTCATTAGAGTCGCGATATTTTTAAAAGGATCTAAAGCTCTAAAGGTATATCACACCAGACCGTTGTTTACGACATAATTATATCAGACTCAAAATTCAAACAGCATTTAGCGCCACAAACGAAATTTGTATTTTAAGTGCACCCACAAAGTGCCAAACAAGAAGCCAGTGTCGCAACTTTATGTATTCGCGTGTGCAATTGTGCAATTTCCTTGAAAAAACGTGCATAAAGTTGGTCCCTTCGCCAATAAATATATTTATTTCGTTCTTATGGCCGACCCGACTACGATTGACAGTTATCGAATGCGCCAAATGAATTGTAAGAATGTAGAAAGCTTTTTGCTCATAGTCCCAAAGCAAAACGACCTTTATGTCACCACATATAAGAGATAAAAACAGTTATGGACAGTAGAAAAATAATTTTGTAAAAGCATAAAGCTCAGTTCCCGCCATTTGTTCGCGATCTGAATTTTAAATATTTGAATTTTGGAACGCATTCGTAAATAATACGACGGGAATAGGGAAGCTTTTTAAGAAAACATTTTATGGAATCGATATGAATTGTGAATTTTACTTAGGTTTCAATAGATTGTATGTCATTATGGGTAGGCTGTTATTACTTAGAGTGCTATCGTAACAAACTGCCCAACATTTCTCTATCTTTTAAAAAAATTCTCTGTCTTTTATCAAAGTTGTTTAGAAAACTATGGTAAATATATATCCGTCTTAGAATGTGAAAAAGATGTAATCAAGTTAGTGGCAGCCCTAGTCCAGAAGCAAGCGGCAAAGTTAAATCGTCCGTGAACTTTTAAAATGCAATTTCGTACGAATCGGATATTTATCGGTAAATTTCGGTAATCGGACTTCAATGAATAATGATGGTCACGTTTCGGATCTGTTTAAATTTTTCACACCGTTTTCTTAGGGAATATTTTGGTGAATGATAAAAAGTATTATTATTTCATTAAGGAAGCTTCGGACGGTCTTCGATATATGTGTAGTTGTAATTTAATTGCCACTAATTACCAACACTTTTTTCTTGCTGCTGTTTTGATTTCAACAGTCAATTGTTAAACAAATTTAAAGTTTGACCACAGCAACTTCATCATCCTCTGGCCCATCATCCTATGGCCCCTAGAGGGTTGGACTATTTGCGAATCGCGTTGTTAGTCTAAACTAGGTTTTTATGATCTACCGCCTTATTCCGTTTTGGGAACAAACCCCAAATCTGGATCAATTTTCTGTGGGTCACACAAATACTTCTTTCGTGTGGGAATCTAACAGACGACCTCCGGTGCCGGAGCCAACGGCCTAGCAACGTAACGCCATCAGTTAAATGGCCTGCGATACTTAGATAAATACGATAAAAAGAGGCTCGGCCACTCGGTAGTGGCACAAATAGGTAAAGTCTTTACTTTACTTTTAACTGTCTGTATATGTCTCACTGTTGGGGACAGGCCTCCTTTGTACTGAGGGTAGTAGATCATAGATCAACACGCGACCCCAATGGGGATTGGCAAATGTCACATATCTTCGAAATATGTTTTTTTCAGTTATACTTCGAAGATATACGAGTATCCTCACGACGTTTTCCCTCACTATTTTTCAAGGTAAGTCAGCAATTAAAGTTGCAATTAACAATTTCAATGGTGCCAGTACCAGTATTTGAACTCACGGAGGCCGAATATACCATATAGCATGGTACTGTGTACCGTAGTGAATTCT